GTGGTCATGGTCGTGGTCGTGGTGATCACAACCGTGGCAGCCGTGGTGGGCGTGGAGGTAGTAGAGGCTATGGTGGCCGTGGAGGCTATAATGACCATGGAGGAAAACAATTTTCTGGCCATAATCATGGTAATGCCCCGTATGGATATAATCATGGTAATGCCTTGTATGAACAAATGGCTCAGCCTCAAAAGAAAAATAAAATGACCAAGAATGATGCTCCAGAAAAACCTCAAAAGAATGCTGAAGATGCATGTAACAGGTGTGGTACTGAAGGTCATTTTGCAAAAGTCTGTAGAACTCCAAAACACCTTTGTAAGCTTTATGCCGCATCAAAGGGTAAAGGAAAAGAAGTAAATTTCAATGAGCATATTGATCAAATGGAGGATAATGGTCAAACTCAGCTGAATGCTTCAGATTTTGCAAGTGAATTTGCTGAATTTTGAAACTATCAAAATGTATTTGAATGTTTCGATTGTATGTTAAGAACTGGAGCACTAAATAAATAATTATATTGAATGAGGTTCTGTAATAGTGTTGTATTGTCAATTATTATTATTTTAATGAATTTTGTTTTCTTCAACAAACTTGTTATCTTATCATGTATTATTAAATTTTGATTATTTATCTTTCTTTTGAAGTTTGACATGGATTTCAGTGAAACTCAAAGTAAAAGCAGCGTTGGAAACTTTTGTATAGCAGATAGTGGTACCACGCACACTATCTTGAGAAATAGAGAATATTTCTCTAAAATAAAACCAACAAAGGCAATGGTTTATACAATATCAGGTCCTGTGGATCTGATTGAAGGAATTGGTAAAGCCAAAATTACATTGCCAAGAGGAACAAAGTTTGAAATTGAAGAAGCTTTGTTTTCTCCAAATTCCAAGAGAAATTTGTTGAGTTTTGATGATATATACCGAGATGGGTATGATACACAATCTATGACTATAGATGGTGTAAAATATTTGAAAATCATTAGATATGAGTCTGGAAAGATTCAAACACTTGAAAGACTACCATTTGCTAATGGTTTGCATCATACATACATTGAATCAAACATGACAATAAGATCAAAATCATTCGATCATTTAATGTCAAATTTATGGCATGAAAGGCTTGGCCATCCAGGTTCAATAATGATGCGAAGGATTGTTGAAAATACTCATGGACATCCGTTAAAGGAACAAAGGATCCCTCAAAGTGATGAATGTCATGTACAGCTTGTTCTCTTGGAAAATTAATATTGAGACCTTCACCGCTAAAGATACAAAATGAATCACCTGTATTTCTTGAAAGGATTCAAGGCGATATATGTGGAACAATACATCCACCAAGTGGACCATTCAGATATTTCATGGTCCTAATAGACGCTTCTAGTAGATGGTCTCATGTATGTTTATTGTCAACTCGTAATGTTGCCTTTGCAAAATTTCTTGCACAAATTATTAAATTACGAGCTCAATTCCCTTATCATCCAATCAAAAGGGTTAGACTTGACAATGCTGGTGAATTTACGTCTCAGGCATTTAATGATTACTGTATGTCTACTGGAATTATTGTTGAGCATCCTGTTGCTCATGTACATACACAAAACGGTTTGGCAGAATCGTTGATTAAAAGACTACAGTTAATTGCTAGACCATTAATTATGAGAACAAAGCTACCTGTTTCAGTTTGGGGTCATGCAATATTACATGCTGCTTCATTGATTCGTATAAGACCTAGAGCGGATCACAAATACTCCCCATTGCAATTGGCATTTGGACGTGAACCAAACGTTTCACATCTTAGAGTATTTGGTTGTGATGTATATGTACCCATTGCACCACCACAGCGTACCAAAATGGGTCCTCAAAGAAGATTGAGAATATATGTTGGGTTTGAATCACCCTCTATTATTAAATATCTTGAGCCTTTGACTGGCGATGTTTTCACAGCACGTTTTGCTGACTGTCAGTTTAATGAAACTATTTTCCCAACATTAGTGGGAGAAAGAAAAGAAGTAATTAAGAATATTGCATGGAATGAAACATCATTATTGTATCTTGATCCTCGCGCAAAGCAATGTGAAGCAGAAGTACAAAAGATTGTACATTTACAAGCAATTGAGAATCAATTGCCAGATGCTTTTGTGGATTCAAAAAGAGTGACTAAATCACATATACCAGCAGCTAATACTCCTGCTCGGATTGAAATCCCAAAGCTGAAAATTGAGGATAAAGTCTCTCAAGAGTCTAAACCACGTTTGAAGCGTGGAAGACCGATTGGTTCAAAAGATAAAAATCCCCGAACTAAAAAGGGAACAGAAAATAAAGGCAATACAAAAGAAACTATTTCTGAAGAAACACAGAGCAAAGAAATTCTCCAACAAGAAAAAAAGGAGATGAATAAAGAAATCTCAATCAATTATAACAATACGGGGATACTGTGGAATAGAGATGAAATCGAAGAAAATGATGAGATTTTCTCTTATGCTGTAGCATGTGAAATTATGGATGGAAATGATGATCCTGAACCAAAATCAGTTAAAGAATGTCAAAATAGACATGACTGGTTAAAATGGAAAGATGCTATGCATACTGAATTGAATTCGTTTAACAAGCGAAAAGTTTTCGAACCTATTATCCTCACTCCTGAAAACGTAAAGCATGTAGGATACAAATGGGTTTTTGTACGAAAACAAAATGAGAAAAATGAGATTACCAGATATAAGGCTAGACTTGTAGCCCAAGGTTTTTCTCAAAGACCTAGAATTGATTATGAGGAAACATATTCTCTTGTTATGGATGCAATTACATTCAGGTTTTTAATCACTCTTGCAGTTTCTAACAAATTAGAAATGTGTCTTATGGATGTTGTTACTGCTTATCTATATGGGTCACTTGACAGTGATATTTATATGAAAATCCCAAAAGGATTTAAGGTGCCAAAAACTTCAAGTTCAAAACCCAAAGAAATGTATTCGATCAAACTCCAAAGATCGTTATATGGGTTAAAGCAATCTGGATGCATGTGGTACAATCGTTTAAGCGATTATTTGATAGAAAAGGGATATATCAATAATGTTATTTGTCCATGCGTTTTTATTAAGAAAACAACATTTGGATTTGTTATCATAGCTGTCTATGTTGATGATTTGAACATCATTGGAACACATAGAGAAATGGATGAAGTTGTTGCGTACTTAAAGAAAGATCTTTGAAATGCAATTTCTTGGCGTTCCAAGAAATAAACAACAGTATGTACTTCTTCGAATCATGCAGAAATTATTGTATTACATGAAGCAAGTAAAGAAAGTGTATGGCTCAGGTCAATGACACAACACATCAAGACGTCTCGTGGTCTTCCAGTCAAGAAAAATCCAACCATTCTATATGAAGATAATGCAACTTGTATTCATCAACTGGAGGAAGGATATATCAAGAATGATCGGACCAACATATACCTCCAAAATTCTTTGCATATACCAAAGAGCTCATGAAGAATAATGATATTGATATTCAATATGTTACTTCCAGTGAGAATTCAGCTGATCTTTTTACAAAGTCACTTTCTACAATACTTTTCAGAAAACATGTTCATAACATCGGAATGCGTCATTTACACAGCATGTGAAGAATTACTGATGTTATAATCAGGGGGAGATAATTACGCATTGCACTCTTTTTCCCTTCGCTAAATTTTTTTTCCCACTGGATTTTTATTTAGCAAGGTTTTTAACGAGGCACTGTTATAGGTGTAATTTATTTGGTCATTTAAGGGGGAATGTTGTAAAAAGGTAAATGACCAAAAGGTCAAATGCCTATGATATAGGCTCAGGAAAATGGAGTCATGCTGTCTCCACATTTTCTCCTATAAATACATGAGTTTCAGAGGAGAGAAAGACACACTAAAAAGATAATTTTTCCCTTCCTCTCCTTCTTTCCTCTTACTCATGCTTACTTATTTTTCTTCTTTTTAAATCTCCTAAGGTTTGTTATTATATTATAATAATATAGTCGCTAACAGAGAAGTAAATAAAATATCATCACTAAATAAATTATTAGTTACCTTTGCATTGGATCAATATATATAGACTCTAGTTTTACAACAAAATCGGATTTTTTTTTTCTTTTTTCTTTCTTCTTCTTCCTTAAATTTCTCTTATAATTAATTATATATTTTGTTATTTTTATCATATGTACATAAGTTCTGAACTTATTAATACTATATTAGATTAAAATTACTTGTTACTAATGTTATGTATTTTGTGTTAATTATCATTGACGAACTAAAATTTATGTTTGAGTAGAATAAACCCGCTCTATTTTTTCACTCTATTTTGTTACCATAATTATCATTTTTCATATTTAAAAGTAGGTAGAGTATCAAACTAAACACAAAATTAAGTGACTAATATTAGATTTTAACTCGATTTTACATCCACTTACAACTAACTAGGTATTAATAGTTTTTTTTGGTTTCATATAATAGAGCACTTCCAGTGCTCGATCTCTAGTTCCGCCCACTAAATAATAAACGCCAGATAGTGGAGATTTGACTACACTTAGCAATTGTGTGAGTGTCGACCACGCGAATTTTATATGGAAATTAAGTTTTAAAATAAATGTTTGATTTATTACACGAATTAGAGAGACACTAAAACTAGTGAGAGCTAGACTTACTCAAAAATTCTACTGTAAACTAATAATGGGTTTTCACTATTTCGGTGAAATGAAAGAAAGGGAAGCATGATAAATTAGAGTGGGGACTTTCCGTGGAAAATTGTGTAATTGTTATTTTCTTGTAAAAATCATCCACCAGTTTTTTTTTTTTTTTTTGGGGGGGGGTGGATTTGACATCCCAAAAGGACACTAAATATATAACTCCTTCGTTGTAAACTGAAAATTTAAATTTAACAATTAATTTTCAACGAATGGAATAATTATATGATTTATTATTATATTTAAACATACCTTTTCTTTATTCGTTTAATTCATTTATAAAAAAATTTATTTAATTTTGGGAACGATATCACCATTCAATGAAAGCTATGAAAGTAGCTAGGAAGAGACATATCACAGATGTAATAATACCAGAAAGATATTTATTTTGTGGGCCGGGTACATGAGAACATGGTGTTACCAACAAATAACACTTTAATTTTTCTCTAATGTAAGTAGATTATTTCAAACAGCTAGCCGAATGTTCTCACATTCTAAAATGGCCGAAAAAAGTACTACATCAACAGAAGTTGTAAACTACAATACTCAAAACAAAAGTCATTAAGCTTGCTCTTGAAGATATACAAAAGCCCAAGAATCTTCATATTCAAAACACATATTTTGCTTGAGAACAAATTGATGGATCATAAAAGTACCCTTCACCACCTTCACCCTCCTTATTTTCTTCAAACCTTAGTTCACCCTGAAATATAAAACCAAAAGCTGTTAAATTACTATGAATGACAGAGTTACTGCTTATGTACAACAACTCATAAAATTTCCACACTAATTAAAATGTCTCGATGTATGGGGTCATTCGTGGACATAAAGTTGTTTGTCTCAATTCTCAAGCACCATTTCCTTTACAAACAGTGACACAGTAACATCAAACCAATTCGGAGTAACCATATGAAAAAAACAAGCTTTTCGTACACGATAAATGAGACAGATGATCATGTTAAAAAAAAACTTACTTTGAGCAGTCAATATTGGGGCTGAGTTGGTAAGGGAGTTTGACCTTGCACAAATTCAGAATCTCTTTGGCCTTCCCAATGCGGGAGCTGTAACTAGCAGCCAGGCTTTTCAGGCAGCCGCAGATGGCCTGACGGTCGGGCTTCGTATAAGCTTGTTGATAAAGCCCTTTAATTCCGGGGCAGCACCCCGGGCTCAAAGGGCCACCGCTAATGTACCCTAAACATGGCGACAAGCTGCTGTAGACGGTGTTACAACCGATGACGGCTTCGGCCCAAGGCGCCTGCTGGACCAGCAACAAGCCCAGCACCAAGCCGACGTAGAAGATCAGCTTGAAATTTAGTGAAGAGCTGCTGGCCATGATTGCCAAAAAAGAAAAGGAGGGCTTAATTAAAAGGGAAAGAAATACTAGTGCATAAAACCGCGGGTTGATTTGGAGTTTTGGTAAATCTAGAGGTTGGGAAATAGAGGGATTTATAGCGAGGAATTGGGGAAGGAGCTAGCTGGGAGGGATGAATTGTGTGTTTAATTTGATTTGTCTGGTTGGTAGTTGAGATCTAAATGAATATGTTACTTACTGTCCTTATCTTTATGGGCAATTTTCATTTGTGTTCTTTCTATTAATAATAGAAAAAAATTTGTAAATTTTGTTGGAATGATAGAAATGATAAATCGAGACATAATTGAAAATACTAATAATGGAAATGATAAACCTAAACAAAATTGAAAATTTTGTTCAAAAACGTTTGAAATGCAAAAACAAAAAAATAAAATAAAATAAAATAAAATAAAAAATGAAACACACACATACACAATGTGATAATGAAATGGTGTACGGTATGTGTATGTATTTATTGATGATGTGAAATAGACTACAGAATACATTTGTCGGAGTTTTTTCCACGAGTGAAGCCAATAAATCTCCCATCCGCATATTATGCTGTATAAATTTGAATTTCGACACGTAACCTTTGGATTTGGCTACCCAACCTGGACACTGAAATTTTCATTTGTAGGATTTTTCAAGACTAATGTTTAATGTTCTCAGCTTTAACTTTTGAAGTGTTTCCTGCTTTAAATCACACATAACCAATAATTTTGGTAGTACGAAAAACAAATATATTGATTGTAATGTCTGGTACAGGAGAGAAAATTTCAAGTGCAATTTATTTGGAGCATAAGGGTATAAATTCTTAACAAGTCTCGAATAAATTTTTATGCATAATCGGAAATCATCTTTATTAAATTAGATGGTTTTTTTTGTAAACAATACCCAATGTTAGCTATTATTCTTACAGATCCTAATGTTTTGCTCTTGTAGTAAAGTTTCAAAAAACAATCGTAGTAATCGACTTCTTCATATCTATTGAGGAAGCAGGCAATCACGCCCCTTCCGTCTTTGCCCATATACTCATCATATTGTAGTTTGTAACGCCGCTAGTTATTTTTGTAAATTCGACATCCTTTTATCAAATTCCATGACTCTATGGGTTCGGATTGGCCACCCTCATCATTAGTATTGCAAATGCAAATGATCCCAATTTGTTTACGCAATTCCAGAAATCGGCCTGACATAAAGTCAATATCTAAGGAAAAGCCTGACTTTGCATTGCATTACAGTTCTTTTCTGCCCCAGTCCAAAATGCATTACTCCCTCTGTCCCAAAATTATTGTCCACTTTAAGATTTCACTTTTAGTACAATATGAACTAAAAATAAAAATCTAAACTGGACAATAATTATGGGACAGATGGAGTATATGTTTTGATTGATTGCACTTTATGATAAAAATACGCAAACTCAGAAAATTAACTCGGTTAGGCGGAAATTTTTTTCACCTCAGAACAATTAAACATGTCACATCTTTCAAATTTTCAAGCGAAACTTATTATAGCTTGTGATAGATCGATGTCCCAAAAATATTTCGTTGCGCATGCTTTTGCTCAATATGCTTAGTCACCGGATGAAATTGAAGCAAGCTTAACTTTTTTTCATCATTTTTTACATGACCACTTTCAATAATTCATTAGTGAATTATATAGTTTTCTAAGAAATCGCAATAAAATATGTGATGATTTTATGACATACTCCCTCCGTCCCATAATTATTGTCCATTGTGCTCAAAAAATTTTGTCCCAAAATTATTGTCCAATTTGACTTTTTATGGATCAAGTTATACATTTGTCCTTAGTAAAAAATATTATCCATAAAATCTTAGTGGTTAAACAATTACTTATATAGGGGTATATCCGGTTGTTTAAGGTAAAATATAGTTAAGTTTGACCAAAAATAAAATCTTTCATTTTAGTAAAACTGGACAATAATTATGCGACGGTGGGAGTATTAAGTTTATTCTAAACAATAATCCACGTTAAGCCAGAGGGTATAACACTATTGAGATACTCGTCCGTTAAACTAAATAATTGAAACTGAAACACGGGTGGAACAGTAAGGTTCCGGAGCAGCGTATTGGCAGTTTTACTGGTCCTAGGTGATATGAAAAAATCAACAATAAATTGGGGCGGGGACATCTGGTCCGTTGGCAAATTATGTAATTGCCATTTTCATTTGAAATTTTGAACTAAATATATCCTCCACCAAATAATAGTTCATCCAAAACTTTCATATTACGTACGAATTTCATCTACTAATATTACTTCATTTTTTTTCCCCTTTTTTTGGAGGATCAGCAAGAGGGGGAAAAAAAGAAGGAAGAGGTATTAATGTATGTAGAAACAGAAAAATATTTTATTCAAGTGAAGTACATAAAAACTCAGTATCACCAATAGAATGGTAATGCTGGTTTCTTTTCAGCACAATTAAACCGTCTACCAAACAAAGGGAGACTCAAGATCTAAAGCCAAAAGAGTACAACCATGAAAGCACAAAGTAGAAGAATGCAAAATAAGCAACCATTTGGAGGAGATCTACAAAGCCTCCAAAGATCTCTCCGTTACGTAATATTATAATGCAAAGTCCTCCATCCTTCAAAAACTTAGTTCACACTGAAATACAAAAGAAAAAACAATAAAATTTCTTTAATTAAAAAACTTACTCAAAATGTTATACTACCAAAAAAACCAAAAACAAAGAAATGTGACAACTTATGAAAGAAAATGAGAAATCAACTTAAGTACCTTGCGCAGTTAATCTTGGGGTTGAGGGCATAAGGGATGCTAACTTTGCATGCTTTAAGAAGTCCGGCGCCCTTGGAGGCGGCTCCTGGGTTAGCGGCGGCCACCTGTTTCAGGCAAGTGCAAACGGCCTGGCGGTCGGGCTTAGTAGAAGCCTGATTTTTCAGGGAGGAGATGCCTGAGCAGCAAGCGGGATTCAACGGGCCGCCTTGAATGTAGGTCAAACACGGGGCCAAGCTACTGATCACGGTGCCACAAGTCATAGCCGCTTCTGCGTGGGGCGCCAGGATTAGTAATCCTAGCAAACCCACGCAGAAGAGCTTGATTAGCAATGCAGAGTTGGTAGCCATGGCTGATTTTGATCTTGAAAAGGTAAGGAAAATTTTGAGTAGTACAAAGAAATGTGGTTGAGTTATGAATGAAGTTTGGAAGGGTAGAAGAGTTAATTTATAGAGGGATATTGGGAAACAGAGGTAAAAAAATGTGGTGTTTTAATTGTTTTGGCTAGTTGGTAGTTGAGTCTTTATGAATCCCGCATTTCTGTCCAATTTTTTCTTTGAGTTCTTTCTAATTCTCTTGAAGATGCGCGAATAAGATTCGGTGAATGTGAATTTTGTCTGGTAAATAAAAATTTAAGTCGACCTTTTAGAGATAGTGAAATCAAAATTCCCATTTTGAATGAGGTCACTAGTGTTCTAGAAAAGTTACGTTATTACCTCGTTTATGAAGGAAAAAATAAATAAAATAAAAATTGGTACGTGCATATATTTATTGATGATGTGAGAGGGCTGCCACAAACGTACTGAAGTAGTCAACATATTAGTTGGGACTTAATTTCATTAGTGAGACCAATGATCGATCTCCCATCCTTGCTGTGTGCCTTTGAATTTGATTTGGCAAACTTTTGATTTTGGTGCTGAGCCGAAGAAACTAAAAACAGTGTGACATACTCGCGCAAATTTGCTGTCCAACATGCACGTTAATTAAGCTATATTACTTTATGAATTCCTAGTATTCTTTTCGCCAAAAATTACTGTCCAATTTAAATTTTTATTTTTAATAAAAATTGAATTAAATATGAAAAAATTCGAATTGATAGTAATTATGAAATGAAGGGACTAATAAATTCGTCAATGTGGGGTTATAAATATGGTATACAATAACGAAGAAATCTTGAGAATGAATCTGGCGGGAGTGGTCGACGCCATCGATCCATGAACTAGCTCAAAGAGTATGGACCGTTTACAATGAAAGCACGGTTCTCGAAAAAAAAGTTAATTTTGTGATCCATTATTTGTAATCTTTAATTAGTTGTTGTGAGCTCTTTGTGATTCATAATGTCTTAGAGTGATATGATTAACTGTTCAAGTTAAACTGTAACTATATAGAGACTAATATTATTTGTGATCGATTTTTCTCCCGCATTGTTTTCGTTTAGTGCCTTTTTTCAAGTTTTTACTCATTTATTGGACTATCACAAATAAATTTGTAGGTCATGAATTCCTTCAACATTCGACTAAAAGAATAGTTAAGCATGGTAGACTTGGAAGATAACGATCCCTTTACGTATAGCATATCTGTATGATACTAATGTTGGAAATGAGCTATTAATTTGAATGAGAATTATTTTTTTCATAAATTGAAAAAATTGAGCTTATGCTATCGGAGTTAGTTTATTCATGTATGTGCCCAAACTACGAATACAAATGTAGGACTGAGCTCTCGTGGACATGATCAACCCACGTTTGCTCTATCTCAAATTAATTTTTCACTCAAATAATGGAGAGACTTTTGCTTCTTGAATTAATTCCAAACGGTTTTCAGTTAATCCGAATTTGACCGGATTGATTACCAATGGTTATGAGAGAGTTAATGAATATAATATTTCACTAAGCACGAGAATTAATTTGCTACAATAAAACTGACCGTTTCAGTTTTGAATTTGTGGGATTAATTCATTTAAATGAGCAAAATAAATTCATTCAATTGCTTGAGTTGTTACAAATATTTAAACATTTGACTCATAATTATTCTGCTACAGTTAAAGTGAATGATTAAAAAAAAAGCGTTGGGTTTTTTTGGCTAAATTCAAAGGGTCTATTCATGATATGAATAGTGGCTCATTGTTCAATTCTAAGCACCCCAATTTTCTTCATAATTTTTGTTTTAGCCTTTTCTTCCTCTTCCTCAGTGTTCATCAAATATTTTCAAAATTCCAGTTCGCCAGTAAAACTACTTAATGCTAAGTAGTTTTTGCGTTTCTCCGTTGTATCCTGGGAAACAATTGCCCACGATCCTCTAGCACTTAAGGAGGGAGCAAATATGTTTTAAGAAAATCGTGTTTTCACGAGTCTCGGATTTTTCTACTTCTTAAAGAAGTCATTGTTCATCACAAATACCGCATTCAATTTTTCCAACAATCTTAAAATATATTTCTTTGAAGTGTTGTATTTGTGATCAAAATCAGAATGGCTAGAAGCATGAGAAAATTCTTTTCCTTGTCATCTCGATCTTGTCGACTTCACTATCGGTTGGCAAACTGGTCGACAGAGGCATACGGAAGGGCAAAATGAAAGAAGTCGACTTTGTCGTCGGTCGACGATGAAATCGACAAAACTAAATAGAATTCGAAGTTTATGGTCGTCGAGTTTTCTGTCTGGTCTTATATGTTGACAAAAGGGTCGATAAAATCTGGGCAGCATTTTTTCTATGAATTTTTAAGAATAATTGATGTGTTTCTTTTGTCATGTAGGGAATTTAAAGAAGATCAAATTGTGCACTGATGGGGTGTCAATCCACACAAATAATTATAAACCTATTTCAAGCTACGTAGTATAGAGAAGTAAGGTCGTCTCCTCAGGGAACGATAGATTGCTTCCTTTAAACTAATGAAAAGATGCATATTGGGTTATTGTTCTAAATATAGGATAATGGAAAACTCAAATAACAGAAAATTAATAAAAGATAAGAAAATCAAAGTAACAACTTCTGACTCAAGGGATGGATAACTCAATTATTTCATTAATCATAGGCTACTAAAACTACTCTTGCAATTTAAGCATCCAACTTAAGATCTATTAGGAGAGCCATAATAAATCTAATAATTCTCTAAATTAACTAACCAAGCCTAGCACTTAATAAGTTCTTATCATAATCCGGCTGGGCACGATATCGTTCCATGCAAAATAATGACAGCATAAATGTCAAGGAATATAGTTGAACCAAAACCTAAAGAATTGAGATAGCTACAACTATTTAGACTTTGTCTCATTGATTTCACATATAAACTACCATTCATATTCAATGTCTCACCAATACACATGCTTTGCCTAATTGCTACTCAGTACTGCCGGTTCGTGTCTATTACGTAACATTCAACTAGCAGATAGTGCTAGAAAATAAATAACAAATCAAATTATCAATTTGAATGATATCTACTTTTATAAATAAAGACAAGAATCAACAAATACTTAAATCATAGACAAGAATAATAATTAAGAACAAAACCTCATAATGGAATAATTAAATAAATCCCTTGAATTAGAAAGAAAACCTTAGCCACTCATGGATGTAACCATGAGGGCTTTATTCTCCACAGAAGAATAGTATCAAAGTCCGGAATAATAAAAATCCGGAGGAAACCAAAAACCGGCCAACCTCCAAACGTGCACACAAAATAGAAGAAAAATGCGGCCAAAACCGTGGCCAAAAAGAAGTAATCCCACGGCCTTGTAAATCAGAAATTAGGTCAGCCGCACAAAGAAGAAAAAAGATTTCCAAATTTTGCAGGCTGGTCCTCCAAGTTTACATCTTTGTCACTTTTACACCAAAACTTCTTTAATTGTGCAAACAGGTCCCTGGACGTGCAAACAAAGTCAAAACTGCTCCAATCTCTTATTTTCAGCTCCCAAAAGAAATAATAACAAAATGAATAAATTAAATCCATTTGAATCCAAAAACTAATAAAATAATACCAATTAAAACACAATTTATAGACTCTATCATGCACACGTGACAGATAGCATATTTGGGCGAAAAGATCTACTTATGCATTACTCTACTTACTGAAAGTAAAGAAATGAGGATTTTTAATTCCTCAACTAAGGTAGATTTTGATATCCTTAAAATAGATGAATATGGGTATATGATCTCTGCTATTCATGTTAATTGGTTGATTTGTCTACAATCTGCATATATGGGTTTGGACAAGCTAAAGAGGAATTAATAGTTTAACATGAATAATAATTTTCAAAGTTGAGCATGTTCCCTAATTGATTTGATGATCTTTCCTGCAGATTAAAATTGTTTAGAATTATTAAATGACTATGAACCCCCAAAGCGTGATTATGTAACTTAATGCATGCTATTATTAGTGGGAGTTATTGCATGCTTTTGATGGAAAATGTATGACATTGATTTGCATTAGTATATTCATGGAAAATGAATAGCTTATGATAATAATGACTAAATTTATTATGGATGATATATTTAATTATTGTGAAATACAATAAAAAATGCAAGTAGCGTAATTGTGTGTCTTCATTGTCGTGGTGCATAACAAGGAAATTCAAAGATACTAAATTATTCTGTTGCACAAATAATGATTAGAATTTTCAATGATCATCTAAGTTGTAAGCATGATCAATTATGAAAGTTAAAGTATTATACTTCTTTCGGACATCTTTGTTTGAGCCAATCACATGTTTTGAAATTGTGGCATTAACAAGAATTATCTAAGGAAAAATGCTTGTATATCTCATAGCATTTAAACACATGTGTGAGGCATTAAATGAATTCATTAGTTTATTAATAAATTCATTTGAAATCCTAAAAGATGGGAAAAAAAATTTGAATGGATTTAAGGATTTTTATTCCTATTTTTTTAAAATAAAATAAAATAAAATAATGTGCTTTGATGAAGAGCATAAATCATGTGATTTCAAGTAGTACGAGTTGTTAGATCTGTAGAACACGTTTCAGTTGCTACTTGCTTGGTGTATTGAAGGGACATAATTTGGATGTTTCGATCAATAAAAATTACATTGAATGTGCTCTATTTTATGGTCAAATATTTTAAATGTTTGGGAGTTATAAATCATTTTGAATGGATGATAACCAGTGAGACTTAAATATGTGCCATCAATGTATTATTTTATTGTCATCACATGAAATGAGAGTTATAAGGTGTACCTAATATTTCCTTGTTCTAATAAAAAAAAAATAGAACCGGATACTGATAAAGGTTTATGTGCATGCCTTTGTGGAATGGAAGTTATATTTTTTCACTAAATCTAAATGGTAGATTTAAATTAGTGGAAAATGAATTTTTGTATTTATTGTTTGGGCGTAGATGACAATAGAATTGTCCAATCTCAAAACTCATTGTCCATTGTGATTTATGATGTGTAGACTACTAATTATTAAATAATTTGATGCTTGGTGCATGGAGTTGGTTTGCAAGATACTCCTATGTGCAATTGTTGTTATTTTATTATATGTGTCATGTCACAAATGAACTTTTAGATGCTCGCGTGGCAAGTAATCTTAAAATGGTAAAGCATCAAATATTTGTGTATTATATGGGGTGCATGATTTTTGAGTTTTCTGAAATTCTTCATTTGCATATATGAAAGAATTTAGTAAGAACAATGATTCTCAATTTATG